CTGGACAGGTGCGTCCGCCGCCCAGCCCGTGTGCGCGGTGAGGGTGGGCCTGGCTGGGCGCTCGCGTGAGTGACCGCGCCTTCCGCAGCATCGCAGCCACAGCTCAGTCTCGGGGGCTGTCAAATGTGAAGGCCCCTCTGTACCTGGACGTGACCTGGGAGTGGCAGCAGTGGGGCGGCATCCTGCCGCAGTCGCTGGACTTGCTGCTGTGCATCAACATGATCCACATCAGCCCCCTGAGTTGTACGGAGGTAGGTGGCAGCCGTAGCCGCCCCTGACCCTCTGTAGAGCCTCCCCTGCCCAGGGCTCTTCGGAGCCGGAGCCGGGGAAGGAGACCGCTGCGTGCTGCCTTCTATTCCGCAGGGGCTCTTCAGAGCAGCTGGCCACCTTCTCAAGCCTAAGGCTGTGCTCATCACCTATGGGGTGAGTGGTTGTGCAGGGCCCTGTGAAACCTTAGCTGCTTTTTTATCCAGCTGGTCCTTGGATTTTCCCTTCCTGGGGGTGGGAAGGAGTGTCCTTTTCATTCTGCGAGTCTGCCTCCCTGGCCTGCTGAGGAGTGATCCTGGGCTGGTGGGCTCTGCCCACCCTGTTCCTGCAGTCCTACGCAGTCAACGGGAGGATCTCTCCCCAGAGCAACGTGGACTTTGACCTAACCCTCAGATGCAGGTCAGAACCGGGGGTGGGGGTGGGGGGGTGGGCCTGGCTCCAAGAGCAGGGGGAATGGATGCCCCTCCCCCCAGCTATGACTCCCATCTTCTTTCCCTACCACAGGAACCCAGAATGGGGGTTGCGGGACACAGCTTTCTTGAAAGATTTGGGCCAGGCCAGTGGCCTTGTTCTGGAGAAGATGGTAGGTGTAGGTAGGATCAGGTGGGGTGGTTTTCCTGGGGGAAAAGGGCCACTCTAGCAAAGCTTTTCTCCAGGTGGATATGCCAGCCAATAACAAGTGCCTGGTTTTCCGGAAAGAGTAGCCCTTTCCTTCATCCTGGGTGCCTGCATTCCTGCCAAAGGTTCTGTTGGGCACAAAGCAGACCCTAGCTCCTGCCTCCCTAGGCCAGGCTTTGGGAATGACCAGCCCCATATAGTCTGGCCTATCAAAAGCCCGGGCCCAGTCTGCCTTGGAATAAAGTATTTCCTACTGTCCCCTTGTGAGTGTCTACCATGTCTTTTCCTGGGAGCACCTGGTTAGGGGATGTGTGGGAGGGGTGTAGCCTGTGGGAGGGTCAGGTTTAGGGGTATCCTGGGCCTTGTTGCTGGAGAGAAAGAGAGCTTCTGGCAGGGCACAGCTGGTCCCCACCTATGTTCCTGGAGACTTCCAGGCTGCAGGAGGTCCCCGGTGACCTGGTGAAAGACCCATTTGGTGTCAAGACCCCAGAACACCTGCAGAACAGGCTGAGGGATAGAGACACCTGGTAGGATCCGTGTCCCTGACCAGCACTACTAGGCGTGAGCTCCAAGGTTGAGAGGAGCCTTTATTTAGTAGGAAGGTGGGCAGGAAGGGACAGTGGGGCTAGTCCTGGCAGGAGGAGTTGGGGAAGGGGGCTAGTCCCAAGTAGGAGAGGACAACAGAGCTAGTCCTGAAAGCGGTTGAGCAGCTCACAGGCCTTCTTCTCAAGCAGCTCTGAGATCTTCTTGACCCGCTTCTCACTGGCAGCACGGACATAGCTGCTGGCATCCAGCATGGCCACGCCATCATGCACTTCCCCCATGATGATCAGTGGCTCATCGCCAGCCGTCACGTTGGGGCAGGGGCAGGCCCAATCCATGCCACTCAGTGTCACCTCCAGGTACTTGGTGCCCAGGAGTTTGAGGCCCATCTTGTCATCCTTGAGCACATCATCAAGGGCCACTCGGGCAATACTGCCGCCCACCTCGGGCTCCTCCAGCACTTCAGTGAGGCGCCCCACGATGGCAAAGTCACTTCGGCACAGGCTCAGCACCAACTTGCTCTTTAGGCGGCATGCTTGGCAGGGTGGTGAGCGAGGTACAGGGCAAGCCTCCTCACAGCTCTCACGGCTCTCGAAGTTGTTGCCATTGCCCTCACAGCCACCATAGGCAAAGGGCTGGCACTGCTGCAACAGTGGATTGTAGGCCCAGCGCGGCTCCCAGCCCTGGCAAGGACCCTGCACAGCTGGCAGGGTACAGGCATACTTAGGGCCACGGGCACAGGCCTGTTGGCATGCCTCATATGTTGTAAAGCCTTGAGTGGCCCCAGTACACTCAAAGGCTGGGAAGGTCATGCAGCCACCCCGTGGAGGGTCAAAATGCCAGAGGACACGGTATGGGGAGGCTGAGCCAGCACAGGCCTGCATGTCTGGCAGGCACTCAGCCAGGGCTGGGGCGCCAGAGGTTCCTTCCCTAGCTGGTTCCCTCTGGACCACAGAGAGCGGGAAATCAGCCCGCAGCAGGCCAGCAGCATTGCGTGCAGTGCAGGTATACAAGCCAGCATCCTCAGGCCGCGCGTTGTAGAGTACCAGCTGTCCAATGCTGGTTACTACCACATTGCCATACATCTGGTCAGGGCGCATGATCAGGTTTTCCCGCTGGTGGCTCTGCTTCTCCCAGGTCACGGTGGGTGGTGGGCGGCCAGTGACATCACAGTGGAGGCTGGCTGTGCCCCCAACATGCACTGCCTGTGGGGAAGGGCTGCTATAAAGGGCAGGTGGCATCGGGGCAGCCCCAGGTGTTGGGCGGGCAGTGGTCTCTGGAGGTCCTGGGCTGCTGAGTGGCCAGCTGAGGATGTGCTTGCAAGGCACAATGTGCAGGTGGAGGCCACGCAGACAGGCCTCTGCATCCATGTAACAGCGGTTATAGTAGGTGAGGCCATCGGAGGCACAGGTGAAGCTGGGCTCCTTCTCACAGCGGTCACGGCAGCGGCACACGGGCTGCCCATCCCAGATGTCACAGTCGGAACCCTGCTGTGGGCACTCAAAGCCCTCACAGGAGGCTGCTGTCACAGGTGCGGCTGGGCCACCATCAGGGAAGCGAGCTGCCACGCAGCTATGCAACCCACACACATTGGTGCAGCACTTCTCAGCAGCTGTGCAGTCCTGGGGACAGGACAACATGAGCCTGACATCCTCCAGCCTCCGCAATCTGACCTTGCCCCTATGCTAGGATGCATGTAGGGCAGGGTGAGCCCCTGCTCTGTGGCCATAGCCAATGAATGCCTCTTCCAAAATCTGTTTCCTCTTTGGAAAGCTGGGAAAGTGCTTTCTGTCCAGTATGATGAGCTGTGAAGCCACCGGTGCCATTTTCCATGGGAACACCGCAAGTAGGCTCAGATGGCTCCCAGCATGCCATCGAATATGCCAGTCCTGGGCTCAGACAGGACAGTGGCAGGACAGCTCATCGGCAGAGGGCTAGTGTGCGTAAGGCCCTGGGTCCCATCTCCAGAACCTCATGAACACATACCAGGTAGGACATGTGACTGCACACTCCACCCCCCAGCTCCACTGTGCCTCCCCTCAGAGCTCAGTGTTCCATGGGCCCTGAGTGTTAGGGAAAGGTAGTGGCTCAGGTAGGGGGAGGCTTGAGGGGTAGGTCACAGGCCTGTGTCCACTCGGATACCAAGGTAGGGTAAGGAGCAGGTTTGGGGGGAACAGGCAGCTCGGGGGAATAGGGAAGGGGTCTCATTCTTTAGACATGTGAGGACAAAGATAGAGGGTATCATCTAGGACTCATACAGGACATGGCCCAAAGCTTGACAAGAGTGTGGAGAGCCCCAGGAGGAAGTGGCTTATGGGGTTGGAGTCCCCTTTAGGAAAGGGCTGAGAGTGGGGTCCCCAGTGCTCACCTGGTCCCCAGTGCACTCCCGCTCACAGGTGCTCTGGGCGTCCACCCACAGGCTGGGGCTCAGTTGGTTGGGGCACACTCCAGGGTGGCTTCCAGGCTCTGGCAGCAGACTGACCTCCGAAGTCAGCTGGACAATGAGGAAAAGAGGCAGGAACAGCAGGCGTAACCGCAGGGTGGGCATGTGGATCACAGGGCCAAGGGGCAGGGGTTTGTGGCCACCAGCCCCTCCTTGGGTCCCCTTGGAGCCCAGCTTCCTGCAGGCATCCAGTCTCTGGGCCTGTATTCAGCTGGGCCTCCTTTGGGATGGCCCACCCTCTCTGATGACTCCCTCAGTTCCTGTGGCCCCTGCTGGAGCCTGAGGCAGATCCTCCAGTAGATGATAGATTCTTTTCTTTTCCTTTTTTTTTTTTTTTTTTTTTTTTTGGTAGCAGGGATCAAACTTGGGACCTTGCGCTTGAATGGCAAGCGGCAGCGCCACTGAGCTAAATCCCCAGCAGATTCTTTCTCCTGACTCCACGGTGGGTGGGTTCTGGGATCTCCCAGAGCTCTTAAGAGTCGCCCATGCGGTGCCTGCCCCACTCCCAGCCACTGTGGATGGCTCCCAGGCTCCAGTCAGCACAGAGCAGAGAGAGGGAGGAGGGGAGGGGCCAGAGGCCCAGAAGCTCAGAGCCCCTGGCCAAGAGGGTCACCAAGAGGCGGAGAAGGGCAGCTCTGGCCTGAGAGGGAGAGAAGGGATGCTGTAACCTGAGCCATTCCACAGGGCAGGCCACAGCCCAGTGGGGGATCAAAGTCTCCTTAAAGACCCACCCCTCAACTCGGGGGGGGGGGGGGGGCACGGCAAAGGGATGCTGTAACCTGAGCCATTCCACAGGGCAGGCCACAGCCCAGTGGGGGATCAAAGTCTCCTTAAAGACCCACCCCTCAACTCGGGGGGGGGGAGGGGCACGGCAGGCAGAGCTCAGCTTTTGTCCCTGACCCCCTCAGTCTCCCATGCACAGCGGGTTCAGTTACACCAATCCAACTGACTATTGGCCCAGGTTTCCTCCAAGGTAGTTCCGGGTTGGTGCCTGTCACCCGTGAGTCCGGGTAAAAGGACTCCACCTTCAACCAGCACATGGTGAGGGTCTGTTTCTTTCCGGAGACCTTCTCCACAACCCCTTTCAGTGTCATAATTTCCTTAAGGTTGAATCTTAAACCTGCCGGGAGTGAGGCCCTGTGATTGTGGGGTGAGGGAAACACAGCTGGACATTGCATTCACACAGACGTCCCCTGCACTGAAGTTGGGCCCCTGAGGTCCACTCAGGGCCATCTTCAGCTGGGCAAGAAAGCAGAGCTGGGGTGTAGCTCAGTGGTAGAGTGCTTGCCTAGCATGCTAGGGGCCCACGGTTGGATCCTTAGAAACACAATAGTTAAAAAATGAGGCCCAGGTTCATGCTGGGTGGAAATGGAAGGCCCATATGTATGTTGACCACAGACATGATCACGTGGTCTGGAATGTGGCTCCATGTGGTGACCCTAGGGTTGGCCAAATCCAAGGGCATCTCAGTGCACTCTGAAAAAAGCTAGTGTCTTACAAGTCACTCAGTGACTGCAAGCACCCTGGAGTCTTTCCCCGTCCTGACACCCACTCATGAGGACCAGCATCTACCCTCCAGCTGGACAAGATGCCCCTCTCCCACAGGGCAGGGGAGGGAGCCAGACAGACTTCCAGCTGAGATCAAATGATGCTTGCAAGAGGACAAAGGACTGCCAGAATCTGCCCTTGCAGAGGTCTGGGGCCCCAGGGAGTAAGTAGTTTTCTGAGACAGAATGGAGAATGTCCATGTGACTCTGCACCTGACCTCCTGACCCAGGAGCCAGAGGCTGCTTGGCCACAATGGGACCAAAAGGTGGTTCCCGGTACCAGTGTCTACAGCTGGGAGCAAGTGACCCTGATAAGGAGAGGTGGGGGCCGGCTGGGCCAGACTTTGCTTGAGGCCCGGGAGTTTGTTGCAACCTAGTAACCTCCAGCTGGCAGTGAGGGGGATGCTGCTTGAGGCCAAGGATGCTTCTGAGGAACAGCACAGGTAGTGAGCCAGAAGCTGTGTTCCTGGAGTTTGGGGCTGTGTTCAAAGTGGAGTTCCTACCAGACTCAGCTCAGCTCCAGGATACCTTACATACCCCTGGCTGAGCAGGGCCTGGGACAGCCTGCACTGTAGCAGATGCATTCCTGCTACCAGTCCCAGGGCCACGCTCTCAGGGGTCCTTGAAGCTGTGGCAGGTAGTGGGTAATGGCCTGCCCTGTGGCAGATAAATACCATGGCTAGACACATGCCACCCACCATAGACAAAGCCAGAGCCCGAGGTACACAAAACCAAAGAGAGGTCACAGCTGAATTACATTTAATGTACAAGGAAATAAGAACAGTTCAAAGAACCCAGGAACGGTAAAGTCCAACAGCAGTGGGGTAGTGTTGATACCGTGCATAAGGGACCATGCAGGTCCTCAAAACAAAGTCTGTCATTTCGTTCATGATTCCAGAGAAAGGACCCTTGCTGGCAGCAGGTGAGTGGGGGAAAGGTGAAGTCCAGTGGGCGGGACGCCTCTGCCCAACCTGCTTGTGGTCAGCCTCAGGGCCAAGGAGCCACTGGTGTCAGGCAGCTCACACGGCCACAACCCTCTCCCTGGTGGCATGGCTCACTTTATAGAGCACAGGCCATGGTGCTGTACTGTCCACCCACAGCAGAACCACCTCAAGACAAGTACTATGAGGGTCACGGCCAGGGGAGGGATCCTGCTGCGGCCATGGGCCAGAGGGCAGGGGGAAGAGTTGAGCACCAGTGTAATGGAGGGCTTTGTCATCAGGCCAGGATGGGGAGTAGTCAGAGGGTGATGTCCCCATGGGGAGGGCTACGCAGGACACAAAGGAGTATGAGGAGCACTGTAGATGATTTGTCCATGGCTTCAAGACGGGCAAGATGACCAGACCCTGTTGTGCTCTAGCAGAGGGGCTGGCCGATGGGTCTTCAAGATGGGTCCATCCCTATAGCCCAGATGAGGCTGCTGTTTCAGGCTGTGACATTAAGAAACAAGCCAAAGAAGTTCAATGATATGTGAGCTTCTGGGCAGAAGAGCCCTGTCAGGCAAAGAGCAGCTACAGGAACACAGCTGAGGTCGATGAGCACAAGCTGCTAAGAGCAGAAGGCTGGAGAGAGGTGTCCAATGACCCAGATGCCACCAGAAGAGTGTAGGTTGTGGCCCCATCTCACAAGTCTGCAAACAGCTCTGCATTCTCAACCTGGAGGTGTTGATCTGAGTCTGTGTAGTAAACATCACCAAAGTTTTCAAGTCACAGGTGGGAGGGACCTATAGCGTGGCAAAGACTGGGGTGCGCCCTACTTTCTTGCTCTCCTGAGTTGCAGTTGCTCCAATGTACAGGGATGACATCCACAGAGGGTTGGCAGGAGCTACCTTCTTGCCTGTAGCACACTGACCACCCTGGTCAAAACTAAAGCTGGGGGCCAGGGATTTAGCTCAGTGGTTCCGCTGGACCTGAGTTCGATCCCCAGTACCAAAAAAAAAGAGAGATAATAATAATAATAATAAATAAATAAAATAAAGCTAAGGCCAAGATCACTGCCAAAAGCTTCTGGAGGGTGCCCTTGCCCATCTGTTCTCTCACGGGCTGCTGGGTATTACCCACACCCCAGGCGAAGTGTATGCAAATCCAAAAATCTTCCAGCTTTGCCCACTCTTCCCACCGCCACAAATTCTTCCTTCCCTAGACACATGGAACTTGCCCCATGGCTGATGTGACCCCCTGCACCACATGGTAGCAACCAGGCTTCCCTGACAGCCCTTTAAAATACAAAATGGGTGAAATGTTCTCTGTATAAATAAGACAGGGGAGCTAGGGTCCCTCCTGGCCCAAGCCCAGGTAGCCGTGGAATCGGAGGTTGGTTCAGATCAGGGCCCTGTAGCACCAGCAGCCCAGCTGCCCACAGGCCCCTCTGGCAATCTACAGAGCGTGTTCTCCTACACGCTCCTTCCCTCTACCCAGCCCAGGAGTTGAGGAAACCTAGTGCTTCCTAGGCAGGGCCGTGTGGCCAAGTCCTCATACACACAATAGGGCCTAATGCCTGGTCAGGAGTGCCCCAGGGAGCCTCCCAGAGTCTGCACAGATGATGCCCACTGGCACTGCTAGGAGATCTTGCAGTTGCTTCGAGAGCAGTTCTGGGGAGGGCTCTGAGGGGGACGGATAGACTTGGACCGCTTAAGGCTGTTGCCTTTGCTGCTGCTGCCCCCGGCACCACTGGCCAGGGAGTAGGAACGGCCATGCATCATGACAGCATTCATGCCGTTTGCCATTGAGAAGGACTTGAGGTGGCTCTTGATAGTGACAGGCAGTGGAAGCTTGTCGATGAGATGCACAGGGGTGCAGGAGACGATGGCACGGCAGCAGAGATCCTGCAAGCTGAACACTGGGGGTGGGATGGGAAAGGGGTCAGACAGGCAAGAAAGGAGGTGAGGTGGCCAACTAACTCTTGCAGCCAGTCACTCTGCAGCCCCTCCTGTAGCTCCTCCTAACCTGACTGTACCCTGTAAGGTCTACAGGGCACAGTGGGCAGGGCAGGCCCAGGAAACAACTGGGCTCTTCATTTCTCCTCTTGAGAAGGAGCTTAGATGTACTGCTCCCTGTGGCTTCATCTTAAGGTTACACTGTGACCACCCCACTGCCCACATGAGGGAGTCCTGCCAGGAAGCACCACAGCATCAATGGCGCCAGGCCGCACCTCCCCGAGAACAAGCCCATAGATAGCTAGGGTTCTGATCGAGGACTTGGCAGAGAACATGGGACAGACAGAACACTGCAAAGCTGCAAGCATGGCCTCTGTGACTGCTCAGCTGTGAGACTCCAGAGCAAAGGAGGACACACAGAGCTCCAGCCCTTACTTCAGCAGGGTAGCAAAGAGATGATCTGCCTACTGATCAAGGACCAGAAGGGCAGGTGAGGTGACTACAACTCTTAAGGAGTCACCTCCACTGTCACTCCCATAGTACACCCCACACCCTAAAGCCCACACCGTGTCTTGCCAGCCCCACCTCGATTGGGCCTCCAGATCTTCTCCATCCCGTGCCTCATGAGCACGATGCGAGAGAGCTCTGTGAAGGACTCGATGACGTTGAAGTTGCACAGGGGGCTGACCTCAAAGAAGGTCATGCAGTTCTTCTCTGCATAGGCACGAGCCTGCTCTGTTGGCACTTGCCGCTTGAAGGCCAGGTGCAGCCGGTTCCCAACCAGGATCCGAGGAACCCCAGGTGCGTGCTGGGAGGGGGGCACAGAACTCAGCAGAGGCACAAAAGCAGGACACCCCCACCCCGCAATCATGGGCAGGCCCCCATATCTGCATTTCATGACAGGACATGCCTAGGTGGTTTAGATGGGCCAGGCTAGACAGCAGAGTCCGGGTGCTCTTTGCTTGCCAAGCCTAACCCTTGCTGTGGAGTGGCTATGGCCAGCAGTTATGCCCAGCTCAGGCCAGACCTTCCCCCAGAGGGTCACAGACCTCAACCTACCTCATCAATCTCCTTGATCCATCGGTCGATGCCATCAAAAGACCAGCGGTTGGTAATGTCATATACCAGGAGGATGCCCTGAAATGAAAGGCATACAGGTCAACCACAGGCATAGTTAGGCCTTGGGCTGGTGAGGGGGTGTTTCCCAGGTAGAAGGGGGTCTCCGTTCCTGGGTAGGGCCAGGAACAACAGCACTGCAGACTTCATGGTCAGTAGCACAGCAGGCAGATGGGAAAATGCCTGCCACCCAATAGGAGCATGGGGGAGGGACCAGCATGGTGAGGGGAAACAACCTGGCTCACAAAATGTGGCTCCCTCCTAAGGACTTGGCTGGACTTCAATTTCTTTTCTGTAGGTACAGCACAAGCATTACTCTGAAATCATTTTTTTTTTAAATAACAGGAGTGCAGTGTGGTGGCAAAACCTGGCTTTCCAGCTACTGAGGACAGTGAAATGGGAGGATGAGACGGAAGGACTGTGAGTTCAATGCCAGGCTAGGCAACATGGTTGAACTTCATTTCAAAAAAGAAAAGAAGTAGGGAGTGGAGGCACACGCCTGTCATCCCAGCACTCGGGAGGCTGAGGCAGAAGGATTGCTGTGAGTTCAAGACCAGCATGAGCTAGTGAGTTCCAGGTCAGTCTCAACTACATAGTGAGACCCTGTCTCAAAAAACCAAAAAAACAAAAAACAAAAAAAAAAAGAAAGAAAAGAAAGGAACGGCCAGGGATTTAGCTCAGTGGTTCCGCCGCCTGCCTCTGAAGCACAAGGTCCCGTTTGATCCCCAGTACAAAACAAACAAACAAACAAACACAAATGCTGAGCCACAAACACCAGGTCTGTTACATAAGGGGTGGGGAGGGGGCGGAGAGTTGAAGGATGGAGCCTCTGTCTTCACAGTCAGTCCATCAACAAACTACCCCAGGGGCAACTGGGGCAGAGTGAGCTGAGGCATTTCTGAGTTTTACAGAGCAGGATGTCAGTCACGCTAAGCCATTTCCATGAGGGCTCCCACTAGCCAGGCTGAACAGAATTTGCTATGGGGTCTTTCCTGTCACATCCCTTAGAGACCAATTACTTAGAGCTGAGCTCTGAGCTGTTTCCATCTGCCCCAAATATCTCAGCAGTGACACTGTCACAGGCTCTCCGAAGACACCACACAAAGCACACTGCCCACCACAGGAGGCTGCACAACAATACTGCATGTCCATACTTCATCCCATGACTCTGCTTTAAAAGAGGCTCAGGGATCAGAACCCATGAACCCAGGACCACACCATTCTATAGCCCACCAAAAAACAATGTTTTGTTTTTTTGTCTATCCCACCAAAAAACAATGGTTTTGTTTCTAAACACCAAAAAAACAATGTTTTGTTTTTTTGTTTTTTTGAGACAGGGTCTCACTGTGTAGTTGAGACTGACCTGGAACTCACTGTGTAGCCCAGGCTGGTCTCGAACTCACAGAGATCCTCCTGCCTCAGCTTTCCTGCTGGAATTACAGGCGTGCGCCACCACGCCTAGCTTATCCCACCAACCTTCAGTAGCAAAGGGCAATAAAGAACAAAGAGGATAGATCACCTCAGAATGAAGGGCGAGATAATCTGCATCGCAAAATTTGGACTCCTACTGCCTTACTTTTTTGTTGTTCTTTTGCAGCACTGGGGATGGAACCTAGGAACCTGTACATGTTAGGCAAACACTGTACCACTGAGCTACACCTGTAACCCAATGCCTTTCCTCAAACACATCCTTACATTTCTAGAAGAATTTGGTGTAGCCCTCAGGTCTTACTAAGACAAAGGTCAAAATTACTTGAACCCCAGCCTTGCAGTCGCCACCCTCTGGATGGTACAACAGCTAGGGAGGACCCTCGCTAGCCTGGAGGGAAACCCCAAGGCCAGGCATCCCTGAGAACTGACAAACGTGAGATAGTTTGGCTGGTGGAAAATGGTAAGACTAGCCATAAATGCATACCCAGGAGTAAGCACTGCTGCTTGGATACAGGGACATACCCTCTTATCTGCTGCTTGGGGAGGTGGGGTAGGGAGAACCACCAAAGGCCCAACACCACACCCTCCAATGTGCCACTCTGTGTATGTGGGGATGCACATCTGTAGGGTGGTCTTTAGGCACATCCAGAGTGATTTCTCAGGGTTGGGGGTATAGCTCAATGAGATATCACTTGCCTAGCAGTTCAAACACTGCAAACAAAACAAAACAAATGTCTACTCCTAGGAGAAAATTGAGTAAATGAAGGTAGAACATATGTACAGACAATAAAAATAACATGTATACTTCATAGTTATTGGTCACAAAAAGATGTTCAGTAAATCATGCAGTAAGAAATATAGGTCCCAAATATTATGTCTAAGATTTTCTTTTCTTTTTTTTTACATACAGTTTGCTTATGTAGTTCAGGCTGGTCTTGAACTCACCACGTAACCCAGGCTGGCCTCAAACTTGTAGTGATCCTCCTGCCTCCCAAATGCTGGGATTACAGGACCAATACACCTGGCCAGTATGATTTTTTAAATAATAAACACAAACACACAATGCACTGCACTGAAGGTTTACAGGACACACAACATAATGGCCTAAGGCCAGGTGGTGGATGGATTATATTTTCTTGTTTTTGTTGATCCACATTTTCTGCAGCGACCACCATTCTTGTCACATTTGAAATAAATCAGCAGAAGGCTCACCTGCTGGTCTGCAGGGCTAGACCCAGATCCTACCACCCCCTACTCTCAAGTCCTGGTTATTAGGAGCTCTGCCACCTTGCCTGACCAGCTCAAGCCTTCCAACTCTGCAGGACCTTTCTGAGACTGCACAAGTCTAGTGAGTTGGGTTATGAGCAGAAGAGACAAGGTGGAAGAACCCTAAGACAAATGCTCGTACTGGTTATATTATAGGCAGAGGGAACAAAGCGATCATGAATTTGCCAGGGAAAACTATCTGGGATGAACCACAAAGCAGGATAACTCAGAAATCAAAATGAGGTTTGTCTTTACCAGGACTAACCCCACAAGAATTCCACTATCAACCATGTGCCTCAAAGGGGAAGAACAAGGGACAAACACTCTTCTACCACAGTCTGTCTTATCAACAACAAACGTAAGGGTTGGGGATTTAGCTCAGAGGTGCCGCCGCCTGTCTCTCAAGTACAAGGTCCCGAGTTTGATCCCTGGTACCACAAAAAAATAAAAATAAATAAAAGTAATAAGTAATACATGATTTAAGTTTTGTTTTGTTTTTTTAAACCAGGGATCAAACTCAGGTCCTTGCACTTGTGAGGCAGTCAGCAGAACAAATGAGCTAAATCCCTGGCCCCCTGAGTTTTATTTTTTGGTGGTAGTGGGGATTGAACCCAGGACCTCTGCACTGAGCTATACCCTCAGCCCTTTTTACTTTTTTTTTAAAGACAAGGTCATGCTAAATTGCTAAATTTCCCATGCTGGGTTCAAATTTATGATCCTCTTGCCTCAGCCTTTCAAGAGTGTGAGGCTTATAGCCAGCTATATGCTCTGATTTTTAAACCTATTTAGTAATGTAGAGTATAAACAGATTTTTCTTTCTTGTACTGGGGATCGAACTCAGGTCCTTGCACTTGCGAGGCAGGCGGCAGAACCACTGAACTAAATCCCCAGCTTCTAGAGTATAAATAAATGCAGGCTCTCCCCTCCTCCTGTTTTCCATCCCCATCCAGGAATAACTCTGGATAACATTTTCATGTTTCTCATATGTCCTCATCCCATCCAGTTCAATTCCCACCTGAAGCTCAGAAACACTCTCCCAATGGCTGACAGCACTGCATACCAGGCTCATTAACTAACCTTGGACAATCTTGCCACACACACACACACACACACACACACACACACACATTTTGTTTGTTTGACTTAACCTGTAGGACAAATTCCTAGAAATGGTACAGCTAGATCTAAGGGAGGGTGCCCTTAATGTTAGTATTTTCAAATTTTTTGTTTTGTTTTCTGAGACAGGACCTTGCTATGTAGTTTAAGCTGGCCTTGAACTCACTATGTAGCTGTCTTGTCACCAGGTCAGACTGGAGAACTTCACTTGAAATTTGGGCAGTCTGAAGAAGAGACAGAGTTGTGGAAATTAGTGAGCTCAGCTGAACGCAACTCATTGGCTGTTCTCAGGCCCCTAGCCCACCCATTGTCATAGTCAGCAGTCCGTCAGCCCTTGTGGCAGTCTACATTTATAGCAAAACACACAATAGTGGCCATGTGCCAGTAATGGCTTTGGTTATATAAGTCACTTACACTGGCCAGCATTGACCTTGGTTATATCAATTATTTACAATGACAGCAATAAGGTCTGTCTGCACTGAAATCTTGCTAATTGGATTTAATGTCCACCAGAACTACACCAAAGTGGAGCTAGTAGCTATCTTAGGCTTCATTTTTCCCTAAAATCCATCCCCCTTCGGGCTGTGCGGTGTGATTCCTTAGTGGGTATGCAGGCCCACAGGGATGAACTTTGTATCCATAGGCCGTAACAGCAACACTAGAAGAACTCAGTATAGGCCATAACAGGGTCCCTTGTTCTCACATGCTCATGCACATAGTTACCTTTGGGGGCCATGCTGGCACACACATTCAGCTGGTCCAAGACTGGGAGACAAATTAGTTCTTTGCCTCTTTGCAAATGTCTCATCTAGCTCCCTTTCCTAGGCCTCTGGTATCTCTAAGGAGCTAAACTCGGGCTTTTCCCTGCTGGGCTCTCCTCACTCTGGACATCACCTCATGGGGAATGGAAAGTGGCTCTCCCCTCTGGACAAACTCCTCTTTTCTTGTTGTTGTTGTGGACTTCAGTGCAGTACACAACCTATAAAACTGTACAAGTAGGCCCTGCTGGCCTTTCTGTAGACCCAGCACTGGCTGTTCCCTGGCCTATTTTACAGTTTATCCTGCCTGTTCTGTGTGGCCTGCCTCTTACAGGTCTTAGCACATGGCTTGGCCCTACTTGGGCTGATGGCCATCACGTCACCCCATGGCCTTTTACATTGAAAGCCACAGAGTCAGTCTTCTATGTACTGCCTGACAGTGCATATGGT